ACGCTTCAAGAGACCCTTCGCGTGTGATGTGAATGCGACGCGCTAAATCTTTCCTCATATTTTTGCAGTTTACTAGGTATTAGTCAATCCAATGATGTCTCTTTTTTGTCTTGGATTCACACTAGGGTGACTAGGCACTTCTCTTGTGATATTTTTTAAAGAAACCAACCATTAACTCTTCTTTCTGTTCTGTCCGCTTCTTTTGTTTTTATTTTATTTTTCTAGTTTGTAGTTTATCATTTTGTTTTTAATTCTTGATTGATTTGTGATTAAATGTCCTCTCTGACCGCTTATGAGCTAGCCATAAGAATTTAAAAATAAATAAATAAAACTGTACCGGGGGCGGAGGACACTGGTGTGGAATTCATTTAAAAGGGATTTATATAATTTTAATTTGACCGCATGCGGTGGCTTCTGGAGATTTGGAATTTCTCCCTATTCTATTCAACTATTAAGTATTAACCAAGACGTACGCTAGGGGTTCATAAGAAAATGTTGAATGGTCAAGTTGAAAAAGTAAGATTTATGTCTAGAATTTTCTACGCTATGACACAACCTTTTATGATGAGACTTTTACATCATGATTACATACATATCCATATCCAAGTGTTATAAAAATCGGAGCGAAACGGTTCAATCCAGAACCGGATTCCAAACCGATGAACCGTTTACCATACCTTGAAAATTTACATTCTTGGGCATTGAATATTGGACATCGTGAATTCATGATTGATGATTGATTTGTATATATTATTTACAATTTGACTAATTGTCTGTCATAATGTTTTTTTATTATATATTTAATTTATATATTATTATGAGTTTTATATTTGTCTTGTTTTATGACCAAAAATCTTAATTAGACATTCAAGAGGAGAGAGACAATGGAATCAAAAAATTATGTGAGTCCTACCTTTTGAATGTGTGTAAAAATATATTTTTTAAATTATGTAACATAACAAATATAAAACTTTATTATTATATAAATTCAATTTATTGCTTGAACTACTAATTTATTGGTTGCACTATTAATCCATTAATCCAGCATCTAACCGATTCGATGTGATACTATCCAATCACGAGAGAGAATCATTCGGTTAGAAGCTTAATAATTAGTACAGCTGCAATGTGCTTAAAAAAAATTAATTTATAACCAGATACTATACTGTTATTAATTAATATTATTGGTTACTATCCGCAGCCGACCTTTTATCTTCTGGATTGTGCGTTTGTTGCTATATAAACAACGTTGCATTTGAACTCTGTGACGCTTGAATTTAGTAAAATCAAGTTTTTTTTTTTTTTGATACATAATAAAATCAAGTTACTCACATAATAAAATGTTAGTTTAACTTTTAAAATGTATCTTAAAGCTAATAAAATGTGCATTTCAAATAAAAACACCGATTTTACATGCACCTATTTTCATTACTAAAAGGCAAATGTTTACTAGTACTCTTAAGACTTTTGTTAATGATTATTTCCAAAAAAAAAAAAAAAAAAAAGACTCTTGTTAAGGATTAAATAAAGGATTTTTTTAATCTTTTTTTTTGGTAAACTATTTTTTATAATATTTAATGTACTAAATATAATGTTATATTTTTATTTTTACTTTTTTTAATTTCTTAGCTTGTGCGGGAACAGTCGTTAGCAAGACCCATACTAATATTTTTCCCTCGTATATATTAACCAAACAGAAATATATTTGCCTTTTTTTTTATGAAATAATTGTTTTTCAAAAGATGTTGGACGAAATGAAAAATAAAAATAGACTATCTGATATAAAATATTTAGATAACAAAATTATCTAAAGACAAATAAATACAAAAAATTTAATATAATTTATAAAATTTGACAAAATCTCACTTCTTTAATGTCTTTATGTTTATTTCTATCTTCACATGATTTTATCGTATAAAATGTTAAATTTATGTAAAAACCGACAGAGTTTCGGCAATATTGAAAAAACAAAAAAAAAAAATCAGTTTTCATTTAGCTTTTGGTTTTATGAATAAAATAGTGACTGCATGTATTTATTATTTTTTTACAGCTGGCTATATTATTTAGAATAAATTTTGATTGCTTAAAATAAAAAATCATACAGTGTTTTTTATTTTTTATGAAGTATCAACATTTTTTTCAAAAAAAAAAAACCTCATTCATGCATCTGCACCAAATTAACATACAAATGCATGCAAAACGGAAAATAGACAGTTATCCAACTTAAAAAAAAAAAAAAAAAAAGTCTGACATTTTTTAATTTTTTTTTGTCACCTGGTATTTTCATACTCTTTAAACATCGAATTGATACCCGTTCAAAGTATCAGCTTCACGCCTTCACCTTTTCTACGAAGTATTTTTAGTTGATTTTGGACATCTCCTATACAAGTAAAATCACTCCACACAAACTCAATTTGCAATAATAAGCAGTGCACGCTGAACCGTTATTTTCATTTTTTGAGATGAAGTAATGCACAAGCAAGCCCACTCAATCTGATTCAAACATGAACAGCAATCATGCTGTTGTAGTTGTTGATTAGTTGTCAACCAATTAATTAATATATTCGCGATCACATTGAAATTTATAATTTTTTTAAGGATTTATTTCGATATTTTCCCTTAAAAAATAGTATTGCATTACATAATTTATAACTATAAAGTACGTAATAAAAACTACATAATTTGCTTTGAATCACTTGCACCTCAATACTTCTTTTAAATCACTTATTTTCTTATATTTTTTTCCATCCAAGACCATTCTTAACAGTGTTATAAAATTAACTACTTTACCTGTTTTACCCTTCTTGAAATAAAAGGATATATTTATGACAAAAAAATAAAATAAAACTAAATATGTTGGAAACTTATAATACTTATAGAAAAGACTAAAAATAAAAAAGATAAAATATATCTGAATAAAAAAATAGATTGAGATGTATTAAAAAAAATAAAAATATATCGAGGACAAAAGAAATGAGTATCAAATATGTTAAAAGTTCACAAACTTGTTATAAAAAAAAAAAAAAAAAAAAAAGTTCACAAACTGATTTCTTTTATTTATGTTTTGTCTTATTTTTCTTCCATTTCTTTTAAGAGTAATAGAAAAAAGTAAAAGTAAAAATATAGGAAAAAAGATAAAACATATCTAAATCAAAAAGAAGAAAATAGTATAAGAAAAAAATAGAAAACCAAATATTAAGGGTGTTCATCAACTGATTCAAACTACAGTGATCGAACGAAAAAATCGACAATCGAAAAAAAAGTCACATATTTTATTTGAATTAGATCGATTTTCGGTTTGGTTGATGAAAAACGACCCAATCCAAACTGATCTAATGTATTATGTATTTATTATTTTCGAAAGATGATGAATAGATATCTTGTTGTTTTGTAGATTTAGAATATTAGATGTTATTGATAGCAAACTATCTTGTTTTAGTTTTATATTGTTTATTAATTTATTTTAACTACTTATCAGTTTTAAGACTTTTTTAGTTTGAAGACTTGAATTTTTCAGTAGTTTGTAACTTTGAATGACTTTATTTTGATATAGCTAGTGATTTGTATGACCGAAATTTTATGCTTTTAGAAAAATCAAAAATTGCTCCAATCTAAACTGAATAAAATTTGATTTTGGATTTAAAAAGAAATTCAAAACAAATGGATGATTAAAATGATAAAACCGAAGGGATTGAGTGAGATGATTTTTGCTTTAATACCAATCCAATCCAAACCGCGAAGATCCCGACCAAATATGTTGGAAACTTATAGATTTCTTTTTCTTCTATTTCTTTATTGTTTTATTTTTATGTCTTATTTTTTCTTCTATTATATTCTGTTTTCAGTCTATTTTATTTATTTATTTAGATTATTTTTATTTTCTTAAATTTTATTCTTTTTATTAATGTCGTAAGTTTTTAATATATTTGCTCTTATTTTTCTTGTATTTTTATCCTTAATCTATTTTCTTTTTTTAAATTTAGATATATATATTTTTTTTCTTCTATGATATTTTTGTTACTTTTAGTCTTTTTGCAAGTGTCGTTATACTTGGTCTTATTTTTATTTTATGTTGTCGTGCGTCTATTCTCTTATTCTAAGAAAGGTAAAATATATAGATTATTTAAGTTTCTAATGGTACAAAGGATAAACTTGGATAAAAAAAATTATAGAGGGGTAATTGGTTAAAAAGATATATGAGTGTAAGTGATTCAAAGCAAATCATATGGGATTTTTGAATTTTTTCCCTAAATTTTTTGCTCAAATCACAATTTAAATTTTTCATCAAAATAAGATACTAAACATGCATTTAAATTTTGATTCTGAGCCATTAAATTTAATTTTGATCTAACGGTGATTAAGTTGGTTGTAAATGTGATAAGCTTTTGTGATAATAAGTATAACCTATGTTGTACCGACACCAACACGGGATACCACACGACACGACACTCTGACACGTTAATTCTAAAAAAATGTTAAATTTTGACACATTAGGACACGTTTTGATATTGTATAATAATTTTAATTTATGTAGTGTATATTATATTTAATATTCAATAATTTAACAAAAAAAATAAAGCTAAATTTATAACACCCATCAATTTTGCAAAGAAACATAAGATATCTCAAATGTTTGTATTAAACTCAATAAAATAGTAATCATAATATAACGAATCTAATAGTTGGAACTCAAAATGCAACGCAACGTAACAATTGAATCTTTTTGAGTCTTTGCAGCGAGTATTGGAGTGTCGAAAATGTCGGAATGTCAGAGAATGTCAAAAAGTGTGAGACATGACACGTCAGGAATTTTGAAGTATCGGTTCTTCACAGAGTATAACCCCCTCCTATAATTTAAATAATTTTAATAAGAAATATTTTTTTGAAGTGTCCGAGGACGTGAGAACACGCGTGATCAATAGCGTGTGGGTTTCTGGTTGAGACAATACACGATAAAGTCGCCGGTGAGGCAATAACATCTATAAAGCAGGGGAAATAAACTGCACAACAACCAAACCGCGTACCAAACAAAACCAAGAAGAAAAACAGAGAAAGGGAAAAGGGGATCCAGAAGGTGAGAAATTAATTTCCCACAGAATCAACAACAACAAAAAAATGGGTGGGTGGAGCATGTCGTTGCCGTCGTTGATGGTGGGTTTGGTGTTCATGATGAGTGCGATGAGCTTAACAGAGGCACAATCTGATGGCACCAGCACCACCTGTGCTTCGGACCTAATTCCATGTGCGAACTACCTTACTACCCCTAACCCACCCGCTTCTTGCTGCAATCCACTCAAACAAACAGTTGCAACCCAACTTCCCTGTCTTTGCAACATTTTCTTCACTCCTGGTTTGCTTCAAGGTTTTAATATCTCTGTCGATCAAGCTCTTCAACTTAGTCGTCGCTGTGGTGTCACCAGTGATCTCAGCAGCTGCAAACAGGGTACACTCACACTCACATATACATAATGGCACTTTATTTTGCTATATTTATTTCTTTTGTTCTAGCTTGTGAATTTTATTTTTGATTTTACTCCTTTGTGCCAGATTCTTTTTGTATTTCTTCAAAGTTGTTATAAATTTTATCAGTTTCAGACTGATTGGATCGTGTTTTCTAGATCTAGCAAGAAAAAGGGAGAAAAGATTAGAATTAAGACACGTGCTTTAATTCTTGAACCGAATTGTTTTTTTTTTTTTTAATTCCTTTTCAATTTGGTTTTGTATGCTACCGTGAAAGTCCAAAATGCTGGTCTAGGATCAATAAGAACGCTTAATTCACAATTTCAAATTATGTTAAATATTGATGTATGTGTGTGTTTTGATGTGGATGCATTAATTCTGATTGATCCTAGCATTTGTTAATTTTATTTTAATTATTTTTTAATCTTTTTAAATTTTCAGCTGGGGCAGCTTCACCTTCTGCGTCATCGGTGCCACCACCACCAGGTAAGAAGCCTTTCAATATCTCCCAAATTTATTTTCCCTCGGTGAACTTCATTTCTGCAATAATAATTGATGATAGAGATGTATCACCTAAGATATCACGAAGATAATGTGACTAAGTCAAATATCATTTGATGAGTAGCACAAAAAATCATTTAATGAATTTTGTACTAAATGGTTGGGAAAAAAGAAAAGTAAGAGAAACAATTTACTACTCTTTAATTTTTTTCCTTGTGCAGCAAGTCCTGCTAATCATTTACATGGTTGAGAATTTGAAAGGGCACTATCCTTCAAAATTCAAATCAATCGATTAAAATTCTGACCTGGAGCCTCCAATTTTGAAGTTTTAATTCACGCCAATTTTGAAAAAAATTTAGAATCTAAAATGATAAGTATTGCCATTTTGCCAATGCCACCCGAGCGTCCCACCTCCACATGGTGTGCACACTCAAAAAGCTTCTTTTCTGAATTAATTTTACTTTTCTTTCGTAAAAGTCCTAGTTAGTTAGGTGCTCGGTCCCACCCGGTCTCACCGGGAAACTAGCAATTCGGCTTTTGGACTGGTCCGATTGAAACGTTGAACTATTTCTTGCGTTGATTCCATTTATAAAAAAATGTGTCAAAGTGTTTTTATTTTTTTTTGGGGTTAATTTACCTTACTTGAAAATGTTTTTCCTTTTTTTGTACATTTTGTTCTTTTTCTTCTATTATATATTAAATCATAAATTATTTTTACTCAAATTTTATGAAAACTTTTTTAAGAGTTTCGTGTTGTGTTTTTGCTATTATATTATATTCAGTTGTACTATTAAATTATGTAACGGTTAAATATTATAACTAAGTTGTGTTTTATTAAAAAATATCTATAGTTTTTCTTTAAAATTTAGTCCTTTATTTGATTTTCCGTTGACTTGTCTTTAACTCGGTCAACCTCCTATCAGAGTTATATAACTATGATACAAATTTTGGTTAAAGATTTCTCATATTATATAAGAAGAATTTTCTTGTTTATACACATAATAAACATCTGGGTTCTACTGAATTTTTTTTCTCTTTCCTCTTTTTAACATGACTCGCATGTTTATGAGAAGTCTTTAACCCTAAAAACTTATATTAGTCGAATAAAGGGAAATATCCCATTTTGATATCTAATTGAAGTTACAATGCTGCCCTCTACTCTTGTACATTATGTTATTGTTGAAGGCTGGGAAATGTATCCCAACTGTGGACTGGGATTAACTTCACTGATTAATCAGAGCAACAAGCAACAAAAATAATTGTTATTATAATACAATAAGTGCCATATGTTTGCTTATCCTTACAGTACACAATGAATAAATTATACGTCAAATAAAATTATGTGCTTATGAAGTAAACATCCATCCAAAGCGTTGAAGCTGCCGATATCTGCCTATTACAACTCCTTCCCTCATAAAATTGCATTTGAACTTTTGCAGCTACCAAGGGATCAGGTGATAATGGAGGTGCAGGCAGAGTCTCATTCACCGGGCTTTCTTTCATACTCTTATTTTTGGCAACCATGCTGTTTAATTAGGAAGGTGGCAGATTACATTGAAGAAACCTCTACTATTTTGAAGTTATCTATGTATTTCTATACATTGGCTGCTCAGTTGTTTGATTGCATTTGCTTTTCTTTTTTTATATATATATATATTGTTTTAGAAAACCTGATTCATTTGAATAAAAAGTTCATTTAGTGACAGTGCATTGTTCTTGTTAAAATTCAGTTGATAGACCTATTTGTGGTGCTTTTGGGTGCACCATTTATATGAAGTGGTTTGTTGTTCTTACGAAGTTATTTCCCTATTATCACAAATTCTTCCCGAGATCTCTCTTTTATTAGGGAAAAAGAAGGGGGGGACTATTGAAAAATGTGCTCTATTTTTTTTAAGTTAAGAAATGCGTATAAAATCGAAAACGTGAGAAGATTGTGCTTAGGAGATTCATTTAACATGCTATAATTAGTATTGCTATTCCTTCCTCTGAGCGTTGAAGGCGCAGGTACTGAATGAAAACACCAGACCATTATATTCTATTTTGAAGAAAATGGGACGGGGGGCAGTTATGGAATGATGGAAAAGTAAGGTGAAGAATATTTATTTATCATGTTTGGTATGGGTGTTGTGAACAAAATGTCAGAAATTTTTTTTCTAGTATTTTCTTTTTCAACTATACAAAGTCAAAAAATTATCTCACTCAGGCTTTGGTATTTTTTTTTTGCCCATGGTCTTGGATTCTGAGAAAGGAATGTTTGATTCACTTTTTCCTATAAAAAAAGGAAGGTTGGATGATAACTCACTTTTCATATTTAAAAAATTAAGGGTATTTTGATAATTTTTATTCACATTCCAATCAATATTTTACTATCAACTAAATATAGCATCAATAAAATTAATTTAATTTTTCCTGCAAAATTTTGGCCAACCAAACATTTTTTTTCTAACTTATCCAAGATAAAAAAATTCCTACCAAATTCTTAATAATCTTTTTTTTTCCATAAAAAAATATCTCTTTATATCAAACGCTCCTTGATGTAGTGTTTTCTATTTTTAGAAAGGCCCACTAATAAGACTAATAAGTAATAACCGGTCCATTTTGCACATTGTAACATACTTTATGTACCAAATATAAGATGTTGAAATATGTAATTTATATTCAATTTTGAGTAGTCCGACAAAATTTAGGTGTTTACACTTTTTTTCAAATTTGCATTTGGAAATCTTTTTATGTTAAAATATGAACTTTAGGAGACTGTCATTCATATCACTCGAAGAACTAGATTTATCGTTATTAACTTATTATTAGCTCTACATTATGCAATAATAATATAGTAGAAATTATAAACTAAAAGAAAATATATTTAAAAAATTGATTTATCGTTATTAACTTATATACTTTGCATGCTCTTATAATATAACTAGGAAGTATCCCTGTGCATGGAACAATTTTTTTTTTCAATCCAGTAAAAATTATAAACTAAAAGGAAAAATATTTAAAATTATGAGGGAGATATGCATAATTAATTTAGGTAAATTCCAATAAAATATAGATTAAAAGAAAATAATATTTAAAATTGTGAAGAAAATATGCTTAACTAAAATTTAAGGGAGAGTAAACTGACAAATGAAGTCACTTTCTTTCTTTCTTTCTTTTGGTAGTGGAAAGAAGCCACTTTCAAAAGAGTGTACTCTAGCTTAATATACAAGCTAGTGTGGATAATGATAAACCATCCGTTTACTTGCAGGTGGATTAATATAGCTATTGCCCATCCAATTACTTGCAGTCTGTGTTCCTATCTGTTTTTCCCTAACAGATGTTATTTTGTTAGAAATCCTGAGTTTGTTTTGAATCAAATATTTTAGTATTTAATTGGATTTATAAATGATTTTTTTTCTCGGAAAGTTAGATAATATAGAATTAGATGGCTATGTGTATCCAAAATGTGGGAAATAGGATGCTAGGAGAAAGTAAAGGAATTAGATTCCATACAAAGAAAACATAGTAGTGGAATGGAGATATGCAAGAGGCAATTAAGCAGAAAAAGGAATGCTTTAGATCTTTGTATAAAAGTCTCAATGATAAGAACTTGCAAAAGTTTCGATTGGCGAGAAAAAATGTAAACAAAGCAGTGCGAGAAGCTAGAGGTAAGATTTTCGTCGATTTATATAAAAATCCTGGGAGCAAAGATGGTGAAAAAGGTATATTCATACTTGCAAAAATGAGGGATAAGAAAAGTATAGACCTCGCCCAAGTTAGATGCATCAAGATGAAAACAAAAAACTTTTGGTAAGAGATGAAGATGTAAATGAAAGATGGATGAACTACTTTAACAAACTTTTTAATGGGGATGGCAATAAAAACGAGGTTGGCTTGGAAAATGCTTATGATGATCTGAATAGAAGATTTGTGCGCAGAATCAATACACATGAAGTCAAAGAAGCATTAAAGAGAATGAAGATTAATAAAGTTTTGGGACCCGATGGTGTACCTATTGAAGTGTGGAGAGGCTTGGGGAGGTGACAATAAATTGGTTGACCAATCTTTTCAATAAGATTCTTCAAACAAATAAGATGTCTAATGCTTGGAGGAAGAGTGTGCTTGTGCCTATTTACAAAAACAAGGGAAATATCTAGAATTATTCTAACTATAGAGGCAATAAGCTTATAAGCCATACTATGAAGTTGTGGGAGAAAGTTATTGAACATCGTTTGAGGAGAGAGACCCAGGTTTTTGTAAATTAATTTGGATTTATGCCAGGAAGATATACCACATAAGCTATTTTGTTGATACATCAATTGATGGAAAGATCAACATCAACATCAACATCAACAACACCTTTATCCCAAATTAATTGGGGTCGGTGGTAGATGAACCCACATGAAAGATACAAAACGGTTGAAAAAAAGTAACAAAAAAAATAAAAAATAAAAAATAAATAAATAAATAAATTAATAAATAAATAAAAATACACAAATAAAATAATAAAATGAAATAAAATGAAATAAAAATATATGTATATATAAATAAATAAAAGTAAAAAAGAAAGGGACAAGAAGAAGTGGGGGAAATGAAGGGGAAAAGGACTAAAAAAGGACCATCTGGAACATAGGAATAACAGCGGGTCTAACCCTCCACCATACTTATAGCTTTTCTCCATTCCTTTCTAAGACATATTGTCCGCCAATCTATATCTCACTCCATTAAATCTTGTTTTACTACTTTTCCCCAAGTAAGCTTCGGCCTACCTCTGCCTCTTTTTGTGTTTAGCTCTTGGTAACAAACTTCTGTTCTTACAGGAGCATCCATGGGTCTTCTCATCACGTGCCCAAACCACCTCAATCTATGTTCTCTCATCTTCTCGGCTACCGGTACTACTCCGACCTTTCGTCGAATATCTTCATTTCTTATCTTATCCATCCTTGTGTACCCACACATCCACCTTAACATCCTCATCTCTGCTACTCCCATCTTATGCTCATGTTGCCTATGTGCTGGCCAGCATTCCGCTCCATATAGCATTGTCGGTCGTACTGCCGTTTTATAGAATTTTCCTTTTAACTTCAGGGGAATTTTGCGGTCACACAAAAATGCAGATGCACTACGCCATTTCATCCACCCTGCTCTGATTCTGTGATTTACATCCTCATCAATCTCTCCACCATTTTGTAAAATAGAGCCCAAGTATTTAAAAGCATTTTTTTTGGGTACCTCTTGACCATTTAGATGCACAGGTTCTTGGTCCTCATCTTGTACCAGAGAAAACTCACACTTCTGATACTCAGTCTTGCTTCGACTTAATGTGAATCCTCTGGATTCCAATGTGCTTCTCCACAATTCAAGTTTTCTATTAACACCCTCCTTGCTCTCATCAATAAGCACAATATCGTCTGCAAAAAGCATACACCATGGCACTTCCTCTTGAATATCTTTTGTTAGTTCATCCATAACTAAGGCAAATAGGTAAGGACTTAGAGCCGACCCTTGGTGTACACTTACCGTGATAGGAAAATAACTTGATGATCCGTTACAAGCTTTTACACATGTAGTAGCCCCATCATACATATCCTTGATTGCCTTTACATACTTTAATGGAACCTTTTTCTTCTCCAGGACCCACCATAAAACTTTCCTTGGAACCCTATCGTATGCTTTCTCAAGGTCTATGAACACCATATGCAAGTCCTTCTTCTTTTCTCGGTATCTTTCCATTAGTTGTCGCATCAAGAAAATGGCTTCCATGGTACATCTTCCTGGCATAAATCCAAATTGATTTACAGAAACCTTGGTATCTCTCCTCAAGCGATGTTCAATAACCCTCTCCCACAGCTTCATAGTATGACTCATTAGCTTAATGCCTCTATAGTTTGAACAATTCTGTATATCTCCCTTGTTTTTGTAGATAGGCACAATCATACTTTTCCTCCATACATCAGGCATCTTATTCGTCTGGAGAATCTTATTAAAAAGATTGGTCAACCATTTTATTGCCACATCCCCCAGGCCTCTCCACACTTCAATAGGGACACCATCAGGCCCCAAGGCTTTATTAGTCTTCATCCTCTTTAAAGCCTCCTTAACTTCATGTGTATTAATTCTGCGTACAAATCTTCTATTCATATCATCATACGCGTCCTCTAAGTCCACCTCGCTTGTATTTCCATCCCCATTAAACAGCTTGTTGAAGTATTTCAACCATCTTTCACTTACATCTTCATCTCTCACCAGAAGTTTTTGATTTTCATCCTTAATGCATCTAACTTGAGTGAGGTCTTTACTTTTCTTATCCCTTATCCTTGCAAGTTTATAAATACCTCTTTCACCATCCTTGCTCCCAAGACTTTTATACAACTCGTCGAAAACCTTGCCTCTCGCTTCTCGCACTGCTTTCTTTGCATTTTTTCTCGCCAATCTAAACTTTTGCAGGTTCTCTTCATTGGGACTTTTATGCAAAGATCTAAAGCACTCCTTCTTATGTTTAATTGCCTCTTGCACCTCTCCATTCCACCACCATGTTTCCTTTGTATGAAATCCATTTCCTTTGCTTTCTCCCAACACTCTCCTTCCCAAATTTTGAATACACTTAGCCATCTCATTCCATATTGCATTTACTCCTCCAAGTAGATGCACGGGGTCTTGATCTCCATCTCTTACCAGAGAAAACTCACACTTCATATACTAAGTCTTGTTCCGGCTTAATGTGAAACCTTTACACTC